CAATCTACGACAACAAGAATGTTTGTCATGCGATTTTCTGAAAAGAACTTTTGCCCGGAACTTTTTTAATTTCGCACACAATTCTATTTAAGCAATTAGGAACACGCTTGCGAAGCAATATTTAAGTTGGGGAATCTCCACCTTGAAAATTATGTCAGGTACGATCACGTGGTCCAAGTATTTTTAGCATAGCGTGTGCTTAATGATTCCAACGGGTTGAGAAACAGTTTATAATAGTACATGATGTATAAAACTTGGAAGAAATTGAAAATCGTTTCAAGCTAAGAATGGAATTTTACTTGCTAATTTCCGGCTTTAAATATAGTACTCAAACTGATTCAATATCATGAATTAACGCTAATCCCAGGTGCAAAGCATTCTACCTGGGTATTATTTCAAAAGCCAGGAACTCGTGATCAATAAGATTTACCTACATATTCTCACAAATGATTTAATATGATATGATCTTATCTCAATGAATAATTTGGATTAACTAGCTAGTAAGAACGTAAGCTAAGAACAAGGAAAGAAATTCCAAAGCTGTTATAAAGAAAACCTCTAATATTCATGGACCAGACGCATACTTACATTTTATGCTACACAAGATTATGACCCAACGCATGGATAACGAGACGGTCGTAAAACTCGAAAGTTTTCTTCCGCAGTCGATTATATCACTAATTATAGACAGCGTTACATATTTAATCAATTTAACACGGAGAAAGATGGGGCTCGTTAGCGTTCTACCGTGTGGAAAGTGCTTGCGCTTCTCGCCGAGGCTGAAAGTGCACGCTCATTCTGGATTTCATAATTCGCGTGACTGGCAGCACGCGGATCAATCGCAGCTTAACGTTCCAGGAACTCACGTCGATCCATGGATCATTCATTAGCGATCGATCGACGCAAGCTTCCAAGGCGATTGACTCTCCACTTTCGGCTTACATGTAATCCATCTCAACACGTATTAGACACGTTACGATTCATATTTCATAAAAAAGAAGTGCAATTTTATCTGGCACAGAAGTATATAATTCATTCGAAATCCCAAAGGGGGCTTTCTAAAATGTCTCGTGTCCATTTATACGTGATAAAAGTCACGTTTTCTTGTTAAATTGATAAGACATATCAAATATTACATACCTCTCATATGACACATATATCTGCATTGTATAACTAGTCACAGGTAAGACCATTGAGAGCACCTTAGAATTTATTTTTAATAGTAAAACCATTGCGTTCTACATAATTACGTGAGATGAACTTAAAACAGCGCAATGTTACAATATGTACGTAATAAAATGGGGCATATAAAACTTATCATAAAAATCCTATAACTCTTTCACAGTTTCTTCTATAACGACGTGTACGTATTCGCCGTTACTAAATTCGTTATTCTCTATACATCCTGTTGATCTATTAAAACCTTGGTTTAGTTCCAACTCTAAAGTAGCTTTTTTTATTCAAACTTTTATTCGCACTTTTCACTCTTCTTCTTTTAACGATGACGTGAAACGGTGGTTGTTGAAAAGAACCATTGATATGGTTCTTAAACAGGAAGAACAAGCCTATGTGTATGGAAATAAAATATTACTCATAATAATCAACTGAATTACACCTAGTAGTTTTTTATTAACTTTGATACTACATCAAAGATATTGTTATCTACATTTCTCGTTTTATATTTCATTACGGATCAGCAATGAGGGGCACAGAGCTCGTTAACATGCTTCGAAGCTGAAGTACATATCTCGCACGGCTTAGAACAAATTCAGATTCCTAAAACGCATATGTTTGCGACTGGTATTATCTTATATACTACCCATGGGTAATTATAAAATCTAGGCTCTATTAAATATTCAAATTTAATTGCTATACCACCTATGCTTCCTCGTTTCCCCTTTATCTTGCATCTCCTTCGTGTTTATAGCGTGAAAATAAGCGGACAGCTGCGATTTAAATGTTGACCTGGCATGTAAATTTGCCGAGTTTCGCGTGCCGCGCCTACGATAACATAATCGTTAAATAATGCCCGCGAAAGGTCAGGTCGTTTAACTTTTTTCTTTGTTTCATGCAATGATCAGCATTAAAACTTTAAAAACAGTAAAAATTTATATATCCCTGTTAATTTTTAAGTGTGACGAAGCAAAGATATTCGTCATCAATATTATCAGCAAAAAGCAGTTATTGTTAACATATTATTAAAAATTAAAACTATTTTTAGCTAAAACACTTCAGTTATAAACGACGAAACAATAATGCAGGAAATAGAACATACTCTAACTGTTATATCTGATTACGATCTTAGTTTCCGGCAATGCATTCAATGTAACAATATAACTTTTGTTGTCTTTATTTATCTGCAATAACACAGATAAACAAACACGACAAATTAATTAGGATTGCAAAGGAGTAATTATACACGATAGAGGAAAGTTAATTAAATTATAATTAAAGGAACGTGTCATGTTTGCAAAAATAAAATTACGCTAATTCGATAACAGCGTGTAACAAATTTAATAACGGCGTCTAGCCTTACTAAAAATACATTAAAAATCGACCTTGAAGCATCTATTCGCGTTCAATGACTAAAGAAAAATATTCAACCACCGTATTTTCCCTGGACGATCGAACTACTTTTACATAAGCAACTTTCTTATATCTTGGATACTTCAAGATAGTTTAAGAAGTAACATGTACACGTATGCATTTACGTTTACTGCAATGATATTTATGATCATTCGCATAAACTGCCGGATGCATTGTTGACACGCATGAACATGCTAGACGGAGTCAAATGTAAGGCGTTAATTTTTGCAGTTAATACTAAAGAATTTTAACGATACGAATTATCATTGTAAATGCTATGTCACGCCAGAGAGGGTTAACGTCTCTTCTGTGACGTATTCCCCTACTTTTTGCTACGACTTCCTTTTACATTTATTTTAATTCGATCGTTACATCTACTGCGTATCGTCGTTCAGAAATTGATTGCCCCTGCATGTACTGAAAGTTAGACAGTGACTCGCTCAGTTTGTCGTAAGCAAAATACGTTTGTGCAAAGTTGCGGGCACATTCGGCTGGCAGTAACGATCCACAAAGTTGCGCGTCGAAATTGCCCAGTAAACACGTTTCGTTGGACTGTTCATTACTTCATTTTTAACTCGCCAAATGTTTGTGCCGCGCACACACTACGTATACGATTCTTAATCTTAAAAACGTACAATAGTTCAGTGTTAACCAAGATTCTTATTTTGCTAGCAGCTATATTAGAAGAAGGAAAACGTTGTAAAAGGAATTGTGAGGCAGAAATAACGCGTGATGGCAAGCCGAACAGACCGACCGACCGACCGACCGACCGACCGATTCGTAAGTAAGTAGCGCGGCTGACTGTGGGCAAGTATTTCAAGAAAAACATTCGCGTTACTCAAACCCGCGTTGTTCAACGGTTAACGGTATTTATTTTTAAACGTATTTACGTTCGCTTAACGATCGGATTAAATTCTTAAGTGGACAGTATCGACAGAAACCACGAGCACCGGCTGTGTGCCGATGTCTGTGCCTGTAACTCACGCGTTTAAGAATTTCGCTATCTGAAAATAGACTAATTGACTTATGTAATTCAACGCGGTAAACGCGGTCCCTTGGTTTTCGTGCGGGGATCAAGCTGTACAGTTTCCACGAGAAAAACACGACTAATCTCGCTGACGAATGTTTATAATTTCGCCGATTTCGCATCCGTGGTAAAGCACATACGCCCTTATCGTCATTAGGCCTCCGTCATCGGTCCCTTGACGAGGGAACGGATGCAGTCAGCCGAACGATTATGTCTAGTGAACAGCATCCGGCGCCGATCTAAAACGAGTTCTCTGCGCGAGGGTAAGTACGTATTCACCGAAGAATAGGTACGTGAACAATGCTCTTTACAAGTTCAGAAACTTCAATACGCGCCTAATAAATACGTCACGTGTTAAAGAACAACATGCGAGCAGATAAGCGGTTCTTAGGAAACACGATTCTTATGTTTCTCGCGTCAACCGGCATAAAACAACCGGATTAACATTTCTTAATAATGAAAATTCTGTTTATTTATCAATTGTCAGTCTTCATTCTTGAAACCTATTATAAATAACATTTACAGGGTAACATACATTTTTAGTTGACTTTTATTCCTTACGTCAGCTTTATAGAAATACAACTGAACAGCTCGAAACATGCAATACGTGAAAAACAAGGTGAAACAAAATTAAAAAGGAAAAAGATTTATAATGTATTTGAATATGAACCTGTGAAATTATACAGGGTTATAGGTAAAGGGTTAACCTTCGCTCTTCAGATATCTATCACAATGATTCTCGAGTGCCTAGCTAAGGACGGTAGAATTCCACTTGACGACTGAGTAACGTTTACCGCGCGTCCGTACTTAAATCATCTCGGTGTTGTCTCGCGGATGCGAGTGTAAAACGACGAGGAAATTTCGTAATACGTACATGCCTAAGTACGTGATGCCAGGAGAATCGTGTGTGTCCTCAAAACGGCACCGGGCCACCGCGGAAAATTGAAGCAGGGCGGAGCCTAGAGTTTTCATGCTCGGAAAAGCGCAGGCGATATCGCTTACTCCGGGTTACCGGCCCTCTGATCAATATTAATACGTGACACCGGCGAGAAGAAGGGCGAACTATGTACATATGTAGCTGGCAAAAAGCTTACACACAATGTGCGTCGTGCGACCATAGAAAAGGGCCGAAAGGAACTAAACAGTGTCACGAATTATTACACGTTCGACCGCGATCAATCAAAAAGGTGAACGAGACGGACAAACGACGATGATAGAACTACGTGTCCATTCCACGAGAGTAAAACCATCGCGTGTTATGTAGGTACATTAGACCGAATGGATGTACCAAGATTTAAAACAGTCGTGATGTTGATTCAATGGTAGCTAGTTTCGCGAAAGAAAAGAGGAGTACACGCGTTATTGATAAATAAGTACATGTATTTACCGCCAATGTAGGAACGTCCACAGCCTGGTCAGTGCGGCCCACTTCGTTAGTCGAAACGCGACGGTGAAGACCCTTGTTCGTTGCCCTAGCACGCACCATGCAACACCTTTGTATCCTCGTAGACCGGTCCGCGGCACGTCATCGATGGATGAGCTCGTAAAGATAAATCACGGCCGACTTGTATATTTAACTGTCAACGATTCGAAAGGGCGCAGAGACTAGGGTTGAAGGCACTCTATTCACTCACGTAACGAACACGCACTTTTCTCGCAATCCGTGGTATACTTTAGCTTTTTTTTGTGCACGCACACGATTCTACAATTGCCACTGTCGTTACTGTAGCGTATAACCCGGATACGATGTCGCTCGTCTTCTCGAGGATACGCGCATCCGTTGCCGCGAACGAAAACTGGAAATTGTTATCGCACAAGTATGTGCATCGGTACAAGCGGAATCGCTACGGAACAACTCGACCTCGTATGAACGTACGACTACGATACATCCGCATATTGCATTCTTTCAAGATCAACTGCGGGATCCTGATTTCTAGCTCAGTAATTCAGTAACTCAGTGGCGCCACCATGTGGCGAGCGTGACCGCGGATCATATAATTTAAAGAAGGGTGTTCGATGTCTGAATTATGAGGCGGTCATGTAAAAAGGATATTTTTATGTTGAACGCTCATCGCCTCGCCTCATTAATTCGCTCAAACAGAAAAACTCAAAATGCCAAGCAATTGAGCACAAATGGTTGGCTGGGTGTGTGTGTACTGTGTATGTATACGGGAAAATAGGGTTGGGAGGGGCAAAGGGTGATTTATGGATGCGCTTTATTATTAGTATGTATGTCAGCTGGTATACCAGCGGTAGCACTGGTAGCAGCGGCGCAGCGGGTAGTGGTAATGGTACCGTTGCGGTGGCATCTGTGCTGTCAGTGTCAATAATACAGCGTGTGGTTGTATGAGCGCAATCGTTTTTTAACAATTGCATTTAACAATAAAGATTTTCTGCGATCTTTTCATTCTGCAAAATTTTAGTTAATTTTCAAATTACAAAATGAACGCACCGCCAACCTTTGAATCATTCCTTTTATACGAAGGAGAAAAAAAGTAAGCATTATAATTGAGTTAACCTACCGTTTTAAGATTTCTTAAGAAATAACTTGTATATACGATTATTCTTATTTTAGAATAATTAAAGAACAGGATACTAAAGTTCCCAATGCAGCAATCTTTACCGTGAATAAAGAAGACCATACTTTAGGAAATATGATCCGCAAGTAAGTGCATCTAAACATTTATATAATGTTTATAAAAATACGTAAAGAAACATTAGTATTAATAACTTTATTTATCTAACAGCCAACTGTTGAAGGATCCTCAAGTTTTATTTGCTGGATACAAAGTTCCACATCCTTTAGAACATAAGTTTGTAATTAGGATTCAAACTACATCTGATTATACACCACATGAGGCTTTTATGCATGCCATCACAGATCTTATAGCAGAGCTTTCACTATTTGAGGAACGTTTCAAGGTGGGATATAAATATTTAAACACAAATAAACATGTACGCTAAAGTCAATCATTTATATCTCCACATAAAATTTTAGGAAGCTATCAAAGAAAAAAAGGAAGGATTGGATTAATTCATAATCGTTTTTTTCTTACATGGACCTTAGATATTAAATTGTGTGAATAAAGCATTAAAATGTATATATTCCAAGTTTTTGGATCATGAAGTGACCTGATTTAAATTAGTAAGTAAGCTGAGAATGACAGAGAAATTTGTACATGTAAATAAGTGAATAAAACGTTTTGAAGGAGGAACTATATTATTTTTTAATACTCATTCAGATGCAAGAAATTCAAAAGTCTGTTCTATTCAGTTTTAATAAGTTTATGTAAAATACTAAGATCAGTCTCTTACAATTTTATTTCACTTAACTACAAAGCTTGATTCTAGTTTAACCAGATATATATTTTGAGAGAAGATTACTTCAAAGAATGTATCAACCCTGTATTAAAGCTTAGATTTAAAAGGCAAGACGATGGTAATTAAAAAGAAATACCTCCTTCCTTACATTATACCGACATCCAAGCACTTACCAGGAAAATGTAATATCAGTTAACTCGGCATACTCAGAAATTACGTAAGAAATGTCTTAAATTTTAAACCTAGTGGGTCGATCGATTGAGTTCGCCGATTGAAGGAACTATATTTGAAGTGTGAGACGTTTTCTGAACGCTAAATAAATTATTAAATACATTTACACCTTACTCATTGGATTTTGGTCCAACCTTCGCTCGGTGCACACTACTAAGAGAGATGCGTGGCTGTCTTTATTTATATTGGGCCAAAATTCAATTAGTTAGGTGTCCAAGATTAGCATAAATAATTATTATGTACATAATTACACTAGACTTCGTTAATCAAGTCTCTTATCGTATGCGCTTAATTTTGCTGCCCATTATGCGAATAAACTGCTCCTGTTCTATAGTACATTTCAACGATATGTACGTAAAACAAAATTAGTCGCGACTGTAACTTGTTAATAGAACTAGTATAAAGCTTTGTACTTTAACGATCACGTGGAAGCGCAACGAACGTACACATGAAAACATATTTTAACAAATATTGCATATGGACTTTTAAAACCATAAGATTCAAGTACGAGGAGCACGACAATAGTTTTCGGATGGAGACGTCGTATTCTTATGCAGGAAGACATGCATACAACGGTAGCATTAAATTCTCTCTCATATAAAAATATACTCTGCAAAAAGTTTCAACAGATCTCTTCTTTCATATCTATACTATCATTGAGAAATGGTGAAACGGGTCTACAAATGATATACACGCCATTAAAATGTTTCAGCATCATCGCAATCACGAGTATCGTGCCCGAACACTGCAACAATTAAAACGATTATAGGTGGAAATTAATTGAAGGTAAAATGGGGACTGGTTAACGAGGTAGCATAACGTACTTAAAAAAATGGATTAGTCAACGTTAAAATTTTTGTTCGCTTCTCAGATAGTACTTTAAATATTTCAAAAGTACTCTGGAAGTGAAGCTTGAACATTTGTATTTCTGCCTAGGGGACAGAATGTTGTAAATCGAGACGAGGAGGATCGCGATTCGTATAACTCTGAAGAATAAAGTCTTACTTTCACAATTCTCGCAGTACGGCCTCTCCAACGAAGGCTTTTTCGGGGATTTCGCGACTTTCTCCGTTTCGAGAAAGTCTTGAGCTTGACGTGGACAATCTTCCGTTTCGTGCAAATCAAACCGATCGCAAATATCACAGAACATACGTGGTTCAGCAATTCGTTTTTCTAATGTAGCTCTGAAATGAAATTATCGACGTAGTACTCTTGTTATGATTTTATTAGAAAACTAAAAAAGCTACGAACGGGGTATAATCGTCGGCTTCGTTTGCAGGGATCCCCATTTCAAGAACTTCGACTTTACACAGTAAAGTTTCATTCTTACGCTGCATATCCACTATCACGCTATTTAAGAAATCTATTTGACCCTTAGCTGTTTCATATTCTTCTTTTAATTTCAGAGTATCGATATCCTGATCGACTGTAATTGAAAGGATGTCTTTATAGCACACAAAAATATGAAAAATTAATCAATTTACGAAATAAATTTTACCCATGTTTTGTTTCATATCACCCCCAGCTGCCTGCAATACGAATTATGATTTTATATGTAAATTTTTTGAATGCGTTATATGTGTACACTCATTGTATTTTGGCCGAAAATAAATACAGGCAAGTAGGTATTGCCGTTAGTAGTTAACAGTGAGCGATGTGCACGTGCGACCAAAATACAATGAATTGAGATGGATGTACATACATATTTATATCGACACCGAGAACTTACATCGTAATTATTTTTTATGTTTTCGCGAGACAGTTTTAACTGATTCGTTGCTTCTGTCCACTTAGCAGTAATTTGTTTATTCTCCTTTTCCCTGAAACGTCAATTTCATGTAGGAAATTGAAGTTCAACAATTATTTTTTGCGTACTTACAAATTGCTTTGTGCTTCTTTCAATTGTGCGGATTCGGAAGACATCAGGTTCAATTTCTCCATCAAGTTTTGAACATTCTTTTCCGCTTCCTTTTCTTTATTTTTCATGGTATTCGTCAGTACCTCGATCTTCTGTTCCTGTTCTTTAAGCACCCTTGCAAGAGATTCTTTGCTATCGATCAAATTCTTGTTTTCTTTGATCGCTTCATTCAGTTTACTTTGGATGAGTTTTATCTCTTCGTTTCGTGTTTGTTCGTCCGTCCTTGATTTTTCCGTTTGTGCATCTTCGAAGGCTTTAACTTGTGCTGCTAATTTACCAATCGCCGCTTCCTTGTTATTTAAATCATTAATCTGTTTCTCTATCGTATCCTGGAACATTAGCTGTTGTTTTTGTAACTCGGAACTCTTCTGTATCGCAGCTTCAAGCTCAATCTGTTTAGCCTTTACCTCGCACTCTAAAGTGCTTTGTAATTTCATCACAGATTCTTCTTTGGAACTTTGCAATTCCTTCATCATGTGCTCCTTCTCTTGGAGCATATTATTCTTCATATCCAATTCGTTTTGTAGAGTCTTTAACTGTAACTCTAACATCTTTGTGCTTTCTTCCAACTTCAATTCTAAAGTTTTCACATTATTCTCTAAAGAGTTCTTTGTTTCTACAATATTGAATAATTCTTTCTCCTTCTCCGATAATGTTTCTTGTACCTTCTTCATCTCGTTTACTTTATCCGTTTGTTCTTTCTGCATAGACGCAACAGTTTCATTGAGTTTTGAAATTTGTGCTGTAGTTTCTTCCACGTCTTTTTTCATTTGCACGATGACACCATCTTTTACTTCTATAGTCGCCGTCGAAGCAGCTAACTTTTCCTTCAATTCCTTTACCTCATTAGACATAGCATCTAACGACATTGCCAAATTTTTGTCACCAGCTTCCTTACTAACAAACAAAGCTTCCTTTGCCTGCATCAATTCTTCATGCTTCTTTTGTAACTCCTGTAAACTGGACTCTTTTTCAGCCACCAACAATTCCAATTTCGAACGACTCTCCTCTTCAATTTTAAGCTTATCCGTCAATTCTTCGATCGACCATCGATTCGCACTTTGATTCGCTTCCAACTTGGATTTTACCTTTTGTAAATTATTCGTTTCTTCCTGAGAAGCAGCTAATTCGCTCTTTAAATTGTTAATTTCTTGCTGGAGAGAAGATAGTTCTTCTTTATGCGAATTCTGTAAATTTTCACACTGCTTTTGTAAATCAATGATTTTGTTCTTTGTGGCTTTTAATTCATTCGAAAGATTCAATGCTTCTTGAGATTTTTCCTTTATTTCTTCTTTAACACATTCAGTTTCTTTTATTCGCGTACTAAGTTCCACATTTTCCATCTCGAATCTTTTTATCGTATCAGACAACTTCAAGTTCAATTTTTTCTCTGTCTCTAATGTGGATTTATCATTTTCTAATTCGGAACGTTGTTCTTGAATTACTGCATTAGCTTTCGACAACTCTATTTCTACGTTATTCAATTTTGATTCTAACGATTTCAACATATTTTCATTCTTGAACGCTTTATCTTTAAATTCATCGAGTTCTTTTTCTTTTGCACGCAACTCTTCGTTATATTTTATAAGCTGTTCTGACGAATCAGCGGAACTGCTTATTACATTGGCAATATCGGCTTCCTGTGGATTAAGTTAAGTTGTATTACGTGTATGTTGTAAATAAAATTTGATTGACTATATTCTGAACAAGATAGAACTGAATCTAAGTACTAACCAATTTTTCTTTTTGAGCAGTGACTTGCGATAATTTATTTTCCACACCTGCAACTTGTTCATTTAGTTTTTCTATATTAGTTTCGAGCGCTCGACATTTATGATCCAAATTGGTTTTCGTTTCTTCTGACAAAGTAAGTGCGGTTTGTAATTCTATAACATTGGGAAACAAAATATTAAATTAAAAAAATAGTTAAAATTGAATTTAACGCATTTAACGCGAAGCTTTACCTGAAGTCTTTTGTGTAAGATTTTTTATCTCCTCGTCTTTATTAGCAAGAATCGATTTCAATTCGAGTATGTTATTCTCTAATTCATTGAGCAATAAAGATTTTTCAGATATGTTCGCATTCGCCTCTTCTATGCGCTTTGCTTTCTCCTCTATCTGGCCTTGATAGCGTTTAGTCAATTCCTCTATTTCGGCTGCAGTTGATGAACGAAGTTCCGACAATTCCTTTTCTTTTACTTTCAACTTTTCGCTCAGTTTTTTCACTTGCGCGGAAGAGTCGGCTTCCGTAGCTCGTAAAGAAGCGATATCTTGTTCCTAAAATAGTAAGAGATTTAGAATCAATACAACAGCTACAAGACAATTATCAAGTTACAATTACAACATGACGTTTACCAATTTTTGTTTCTCCTGAACGATCTTGAAACTATCTTCGGCTTTCGATTCATACTCTTGTATTTGCTTGGAGAGCAGAATATTCTTCTCTTCCATCACTTTCAGTTTTTCATTAAGTTCTATAAATTAGACATAATAAAATTCATCATTGGAAAGTTGATCATTTGCATCATTAACATACCTTCGAGTTTCTTTAAGGCAGCGGTCAATTCTTCATCTTTCTTCTTACTAATATCAATTTGTGCAGTTAATTCGGTCATTAGTTTTTCAGCTTCGCATATCTTTTGGTCCAATTGCATAGTGACTTCTTTGATCTTCAAATCTTTTATATTGATCTGCTCATTGAACGATTCCGACAGTTTGCTAATTTGTTTCATGTTCTCAGTCTTAAGATCCTCCAAAGCAACATTCTGCATTTCTAATTGTTTTTTGGACTCTAATTCCAATTCTTGTGCTTTCGCTTTTAGTAAATTCTCCTTCTCTTCAATTATTTTTTCATATTTGGATATTAACGATTCCTTCTCAGTTCCAGCTTCATTCTTCACATTTTCTAAAGCTCGTCGCAGTTCTTCTTTCAGCGTATTCGTATTAATTTCGAACTCCTCCTTAATGCCTTTTATCAACATATTCTTTTGTTCCAAATCTCGTTTCGCTTGTTCCAATTCCGCTCTCAAACTGGTTTCCGATTCTTTATGAACCGCAGTTTCTTGCTGATTCGCATCCACTTTTGACTCCAACTCTTTTATCTGAGCTACGTACCGTTCTATCAGCATTGTCTTTTCTTGCATCTCTTTCTCGAGATTGCTTTTAACTTCATCCAACACTTTATTGCGGTTCTGCAAGTCTATATTAATTCAGTGTTAATGCCATGATGCCCGAAATTTCAATATTATTTTTCAGAATACCTTCAAGCTGATGATTCTCATGAGCAGTGACACTGGACAATTCATTGCGTAAACGCGTTAATTCCTCTTCCGTTTCGAACAACTTTATGCTGTCCTGTTCGAATTGAGTAAGGCGCTCACGTTCTTCCAGTAATTGTTTCTCGAGGTCTTTGATCCTATTTTCATTTACAGTATTTATCACCTAACGACAAACGTACCTGTTTAGTATTATCGACAAATAAGTTTGAACGTGCATCAACTAATAATGAAGCTTTTGTCGTTTTATGTTGATTTAGGCGAGAATAAAGTACAATAATTGTTTTTCTTGTATGATTCAACCTCAGTATTACATATTATTCGATTTTGCAAGACAATGTACAAAACTTTGTATAACATAAATAAAAAAAGAGGAAATGTAAATTAAATACTGTATGCAAAAAATATAACAAATAAATAAATAAATAAATAAAT